GTGATCCGCCCATGACCGCCAGGGTCTATGTGGGGTCCAGCCTAGTGAGTTGGAGAGTTGAGTAAAAGGATGAATGGGGTAAGGTGAGTCGAGGTAAACTGAGGTAAAGTTGTGTTGGTGGTGCTGGTGGTGCTGGTGATGGTTCCCCTGTCTAGCTCACAACAACGTCGTCCCCTGTTGCTTGAAACTGCCACCATCTCTCTTCCATCTTAGGGCGTCGAGTCGATGAAAAAGAATAGAAGCTGATTTGATTTTTTCCAGAACCACTCACTCACTCACTCCCTCACTCACTCACTAAACTTCACCCCTCTTTTTCGCGGTTCCCGCGGTGGCGCAAAGGTGCAGATAAGCATGCTAAGTTGGTCGATATCTCTGGAGGAACTCCAATTCATTCTTTCTTGTTTTTGTTGTCTTTTTTTTTTGTTATTTTATTTTTTCTTCTTCTTCTTCATCTTCGGGCTTCTTCTTGTGTATGTTCTCATCCTTTTCAATCCCCTGCCAGTAAACCCTTTGTTGGTCGCATCAATCACTACGGCCCTCGTCAGCCGCCAACAGAACTGAAAACAAGTGACATTGGTGGCTGACACTTGCCTCGGGGTGTGCAGGACGGAAGATTTCCATATTCAGAGTGCCTGGCCGTTCCAGCTATAGACGTCGTTAGGGCCGATCCCTATGAGGCGTTCGTTGACTCCGTCGCTAGCACTAGCACTATCACTGACACCAGCGCCAGCAGGGCTATTGTGACCGCTGCCTTGATAGACACCTGTGACGTCTACCATCCCATACGGATATTCGCACGGAGATGAACCAACGTACATGCTTTGGGTGCCACTAGGCAGCGTATACGCGGTAGTGCCGTTGCTGTTACTGGCGCTAGAGTTGACTGCATGCGCGTGTATTAGGCTCGACTCTGGAAGCACGAAGCCAAGCCCACTCGAGTCGGGTGTCATTGGAGAATACTCCTGCTTCATGACTGGTTGGGGCATTCTGTCGACCCGTGGCATCATCAGCTCCTCGTATCCTCGGTGCTGCGGCTGTGGTGAATGATACATGCTCGGCATCGTAGTCGCCCGGTGCATGGGATGAGGATGAGGGGGTGCCATGAGGTTGATATGGTGGGACCTCGGTGCCATTTTCACTTCATGAGTGTATTGACGCTCGCGCATCCTCATGTCGTTCGTCAGGAACTCGCCCTTAACAATTGAGCTTCCCTTGGCGGCGATTGGGCTGTGTCGCTGTGAAAATCTGTCATCATATGGGTGGTGATGGTACTTGCGCCCCATTCCTCGACGCGATGTGTTTTTGCCGCGGTATTTTGTTGTGCTTTCAACTCCATTCAGGACGGCCCAATCCTCCAACACCCACTCGGTCGCCTTTTTAGCTTCACCAGTTTTAGTCGAGCCTGAACCCTGCTCCGTCGCTCTCGACGTCGAGTCTGACCCCAGCTTGTGTTCTCGTTTGACAAAAGCCTACCATCAAGATCCACTGTTAGCTTTCAACGAACTCTTGTAGCATGAATGATTCGTCCAAACCCAACAAGCGTTGGTTCATGTACATATGCAGCTTATGCCGCAAGCTATACCCAGTAACAGCGGGGGGGGGGGTTATGGAAACGAGATCTGAGACAAGAAAGTCTGGAGTCTTAACTTACATCATTCATACTGAGGTTATGACGGATGCTGTTCTGCCAGCCTTCGGCATTTTTGCCCGGTCTCTTCTCCGACTTGTCCTTCTTGATGTCCTTATCAGTGTTCTCACGGAACCACTGGTAAATCTCTTGAAGAGTCATAGCATGATCCGGAACGCTCATCAGAGCTCGGTAGAGCAGCTTGGCGTATGGTTCATCTGTCTTGGCGCCACCAGCAGCTGTGGCCTGAAGGTCTTTGCCTTCTCGAACCACTTCTGAGCTCGCGCGGTACTCCGGTACACCGGCGGGTGATTCATGTCTAGCTTTCATGAGCATGGGGGTCCCGAGAAGAGGTTCTTGCGGGGAGCCGCTGCATGATAGTGCTCCAGCTGATGAACTGGGAATTGTCACTGGTGAGTAGTTTTGGGGCAGGCCGTCAATCTCATTATCGAAAATCTGATTCATGCCGCCACCTGAGAAAGGCGTCAGGCCCCGAGGGCCTCTGACGAGGTATCCTTCGCTTGATGTCGGTGTGCAAATGCGGAGGTTCTTGAAAGAGTTCTGTTGGAGAGAATCTGAAGGTTGAGGCAGAGGGAAGTCTGGAGAGGACCACGTCCTTGGTGAAATGGGTGATGGGTTGTAGCAGCTCATTGGGGCACTGCCACTGCTTGGGGAACTTTGGTAAGAGTAGTTGTCATAATCGTCAGGTCCTGGTGGAGGTGAAGGCCAGACTGGGTGATGACTTCGAGGCGCATATGGAAAACCTGAGGTCATGGAAGCATACACAGTCGCATCGTGAGTCGGATGTGACGTCTGCTGTTGGTTCTCTTGGTGCTGTGACAGGGTTGAATCTAGAGACAGCGGACCAGTTGATGATAGATGAGATGGTTGATCCTGAGGACCCGAGGAGAGGGCATAGTATGGCTCCATACCGGTGAGCTCTGACACGCAAGGTGATTGTTGACCGTGACCCGTGATAATATTGGTGTAGCTAGAAGCTTGCTCGTCACCAGAAAACGGTGTATCCATTGCGACCTCTGTTGAAGTCAAGAACACTGGTTTGGAAGGAAGTACAATGAGTCTCGTGGTTGGTTTGATGGTGTTCTCGGAACAAGGAGATTTCTTTACTCAGGTACCAAGCAATGGGAAGCGAGGTGAAAGAGAGGTGTTGATGAGCAAGTTGGAGAATGAAGGGAGAGAACGGAGGAATAGCAGAACGTTACAATAGACACAATGGGACAAGGACAAGGACGGGGGCGAGGAAATATGGCGATATTTGATGCCGAAGCGAAGGATGCTTGTGCCTCCTCCCGCTCGTTTGGGGTAGGGCGTGGAGTTGCAGGGCTAGCTTTTTAGACAACGGCTTCGTTTAGACGTCGATCCGTTGATAAACAAATGCCCGTTGACAGATTCAGCAATCTTGGCTTTTAGATCTCCCATCCACCTTCATCCGTAAAAGCTTATGGGCAAGGACCTCAAGATCGTAGTCAAGGTCGCTCGGGGGCGTGCGCCAAGTGAAAGGGCGAGGGCCGACCAACAAGCGCCTAGCAAGCCATAGTAGTCCGTGGCAGACAAGGAAAGCGGACAGGGACGCTATCTGTAAGCCACCCCACGGGGGTAGCTGATCACCGACGGCAAGCCTCCCTCCTAGCATGCCTTTGTGTTGTAAATGTGCGCCTGTGCTTGTGTTTTGCTGGCTGTGTTTTGTGTGTGGCCATCACCAAAGTCTAGAAGATGTTGGACGCGCAAATGAGTTTCCACTCTGCTTTCTGCCTCTGCCACCTTTGTCTTCCCCTTGCTTCGATTCCAGTGACGTCTATGAGCCCTGCCTACCTGTAAGAAGAGTACCATGTCCAACAGGCAATATCTGTCACCTCATACGCCACAGGTGCATGCACTCAGATGCCCTGGTCCTTGAAACTGCCTTCAGGTATTGCACTATGTAGGCTCAGTACTTGCATGAGAAGCACAACCAGGAAAAGGTGAGTGAGCTACATGCAATGGGTGATTGCATCAAGAATGAGATGGTCCAAGGGCCCTGATCCAAGGTCCCGAACAGGACGTGCAACCTTAGAACGAGTGCTCCTAGCAATAAAAGTGCCGATATTCGTTGGATCAGCCTGCAAGCCTTGTGTTGCATGCCCCTTTGCGTATCGTCAAATCTTCCTTCTCTTCTGTCGAAACATCCCTCCTGGTCTCATCAGGCAGACCTGGTATGTATCGGGATCGAGAAGCATCACACCCTGCAAGGGACACGCTACCAACGGGCTTCAAGTCACTTGACGGTAACTCAACCTGCTTGTACTCTCATCAACGGGGCTATCGCGGGTAGTCTGCGTCTCAGACGGCACCTTGCATTTCAGACGATACGAATCGGGACACCAATCTGTATACCAATCAGACCGCCAATCAAAGCATCGGTGGGTGCCCGTCCCGTTTGGATCACCGTTATCCATCTGTTGCTGTTGTGAATCAGTATGGAAGCTGCCGGAGAAGCCGTCAGAAGCTTTCTGAAGCATAAAAGCACCACTACTCTGCGGTCCGCTGCGTCAAAGAATATGCATAGAACAATCTTTCGAAGCTTCATCGACGGTATCCGACTAGAAATCAGGACTCAAGGCATCATCAGGCTTGACGCAGCTGTTCTGACTGGTGTTTGCTGCAACCAACCCTCTTGTCACATCTCGATTGCCCCAGCTCCGCGTGGATTTCACTCAAAACATAAACGTAAAGATGCCCGAGCGGTTTGGTGCTATCTGTTCGCCCCGGTCCGTGAACGCTCGCAAGTGACAGCTTTCTAGAAGCCTTCTGATGCAGTAGGCCTGATGACCCGAGTTTGCGTGCCAGACTCATCGCAATTCTTGTGACAATCAATTGGTTCATGGCTGCAGGAATCTTTGCTGACTTGAAGGTCTGCCTGTTCGGAAGGTGTGGAATAGGGACATAAGATGTAATTTCATGCCTGGTCTGCGCAGGTCCTTGAACTGAGCGGTCAGGTCGGGTCGATGATCGAATAGATCTTAGGTAGCAGGACACTACTCCAGCATCGACTCAACCTTCGCCCACTCTAGTTCTCTACCAATCCCCGCTCTGAATCCCGAATTAGAAACCCTCAAATAGGGAGTACAAATGTATCAATGGACATGACCCGGGTAGCGTAGACATGTCGAAAGCTATTAACAACAATCATGATGCAAGCCTTATCAGGCAGGGCGGATTGGTCCGCCCTCCCGCTTGAAAACGTGCATTTTTGTCCTCTCCGATACTCAAACTCAACGAAACGGGAAATTCAGAAACGGGCTTTCCTCCCCTTTTCATTAGGTTGGCGAGGACCAACATAACTTCAATCGATAGTTGGTGATCGATCCTGGGACTACTTCCGGTAGTAGATCTGGAGAAACGTGTTAGCCTAATCGAACAGGGTGGACCAACAAATATGGTTTCGGAGTCATACCTTTTTGAACTGAAAATGCAGCTGCAAGATACCCTGTTGAGTATGCACGGTTAGCTTTGTGGGTTCATGAGCATGTAATGGAGGGGCGATGGCGTCTAATAGCATGGGTCAAGTAGGCTGTCACCAACGCAGACTGGTCTGGGCTGCATAAAGTGCATTTCATTCAACGGCCAAGCCCTCGTCGCAATACGAACTCAGGGCGGCTAATGCAGAGAAAAAGACTCGGCCCTACCACGTGAAGTGAAGTGGAGGGATCCAGATGAACATACCTTGTCGAATGAGCTCTTGAAGCCTCGATCCTTCTTGGCGCTATAATCCCACTCTCGATCAACAATGCGGAATGCAATATCCTCGTATGGAGGCCCTGCCATGAACCGTATCAGGCACGTGTCCTCCTCACCAGCAGCAGCAAATGATTCTCCGCGTCTGCGGCCATGTTCTCGAATGATCTTGAAGGTTGGCGCCTTTGTCTTGTCGATGAGTTCAGGATAGAATATGTTAAACTTGTAACCTTGAACAACCTTGGGTGGCGGATTATCGTGGTCGTAATGAGTCTGATTATATTTATTCCAGTCGTAACCCATCTGGACACGGTTGAAATAGCGTGGCTTCCGGGGTCTATATTTGTCTGCCCATTGTGGCTTAGTAGTGGTAACAGCCTCTTCGCTGGTGAAGATCTCCTCGTTCTCGTCGACACCTCTAGCAACCTCTCGATCATACAATGCTTTAGTTACCTGTGAGAAGTCCACATTGTCAACCTGAGAAAAGCGCTCAGTTCCTGGCGGGGCTGATGTGCCCACATGCCTTGAGGATGAAACGGGTGCAGGAGACGCCTTTTCTTCTGAAGCTGATGCGACTGGCTGCGAACCAAATGCCACCTTGGGGGCAGAGGTCGGCTGGCCCGATGCCTTGACCTTGGTTGGATCACGCTCCTTGAGTTGGCTCAGACGAGTCTCCTTGATTGTCTCGTATACTTGGTTCAGCTTGGCACGAGCTTTCCACACTCGGAGGCTTCGCAGCAACTGTTCCCAGTAATCCGTGTCGATATCCTCGTTGGACTGTAGTTTGGCCTTGATCTGCTTTTCCAAGGCTTCCAGTTGGTCATGCGTCTTGGGGGCAAGGATCTTGTCGATGTCGTCTGAAACACTGCTTACAACCCTTCTCTCATGGCCATGTGGATCTAATTTCGCCTTCCTATCTTTACAGATGGTCTGCAGCGCTCTCCAATATTCCCGGTTGGTCGCATTGGTTTCAAGCACGTGGTATGAGGCGATACCGGATTCCAGCTCGGCAATCTGCTCTGCATCAAGCGAGGCAACAACATCTCCGGGCGCGGGAACATCGATTTCGACATCAGCATCGTCGTCGTCGAAGATATCGCGGTCTGTATCGATATATCTTAGGTTGAATGCCAGGTAGTCGATGGGCTTGGCACGGCCTTCTCGAATTCGGATATCCGCCTTCTTCTTGGACTGCTTCAGTACGAACTTGTCCTCATCGGCAACAAACTGTCGTGATTGCTCATCTTGAGTCAAGTACTTGGGGTTGATCTTGGAACCACTTGGTTTAGTGGATTTGGTGATTCGGTTGGTAGGATCATGTCTGGGGGATGTCACATCTCGTCGGGTAGGGGACCGTCGTCCGGCGATCATGGCTTTTCGTCCAGGATCCATGGTTGATGATTGTAGCTGCTGATGATTTGGAAGGGAGACGAGTCAAATGTTGAAGCATCAGGGAAACATCGATCTTATCGGTGAAAAGTGGATACCTTGGTTGGAAAATCCTTATCGGCAGGAACGCCTTGAGGCGCGCGAGCACGTGACGCAATACAACATATCACTTACATGAAGCTGTAATGGCCGTGCTATTTCGTGCTACGTAGAGCCTTGAAGGTGAGGTTTGCTCTTTACTTGTGATTTTATCGGCTTTATTACTGTGGCCCTATGTCGAATTTTTAAATCCTATCCTTTAGGGTTCCAACGGTTTTTGACGCCATCATTCCAGCCATCACACTTGACTTATTACAGTCCAGATATAGTGCAAGTAGTGATCCGTCATTGGGCAACAATCGAAACAAAATAACAACTTTCGGCCTTATGGATGTTATGTAATTGAGTTTATGGATATTTTTATGAGCCGGCTTATTTATTGTCATTTCGTGTGCGTTATAGTACTTTTCATTATTGATCCTAATTCAGCTGTTCCCATTGATAATGGGGGTTTCAAAACTAGAGTCAGTGATACAAAGAACTTGACAGCTATCAGCAACTACTAGCCTACTATAGCTTTACGGGAATTGCCTCTCTTCATTATATATTTGTCCGCTCTGAACTGAATGCCATATCCGTCAACACGCGCAGTTGTAATACTCAACTTCACTCTCATGCAACAACTTACCCTGTGCCACCTCGACAACCTCATTCTCAATCACCAACACAACCCATCACCGCACACAAGTTCTCAAAAGTCTAGACCAACATAACATCATTCATACCACTAATATTTACACCAATAAGAGTCGTCAAATGCGTCAATTGAGTTAATTATCCATGTTTAAGCTTGAGAAAGAAAAACAACAGCCTTACCTAACAGGGGTTGGTGCGGCCATTTGAGCAAGTTTATTATCATCTCAAACTCGCTCTCTATCAGTCATCCCCCGCATAGCATGACCTTATTGGGGCAACAAGCAATGACAGGCAAGTGGGAAACATGTGAAGACTCCGGATCTTATGCTTAAAGAAACCTTGTTTCTAAGCTTATTGTGGCCGAAAAAGAGAGTTCGCGAGGCTGTATAGTAGTATCATCACGAGTAGACCGAATTGATCAACATTCGCACAGCAGATGCATCTGTATAGCATGCTCCGGCCAAAGGCCGTTGCCAACCGGCCAACTGCAGCCCCAAAAACCTACACCAACCCCCGAATGCCCGGGGGAGACACCGGGCTTCTTGAACGGTAAAGCTACCAGTGACACAGCAGTGGCTATCACGCGAAGTCAGCCATAACCCTGCGAAACTGACTCACGCTAAGTCAATAATTGCTTGGTCAAGAGCAGCCTCCAGATGTAGAGAGCTAGAGCTCGGTTACATGAGCTGGACCCTGGAATGACTGAGGTGCTTTGTGCATATAAAGACAGCTGAAGCGCCTGCTATGCTTCTATTTGTTGTTACTCACCCTCTCCTCCACCCCAACACACTTGCCACCCCAACCATCAAGATGCTGGCCTTCAAGACTCTTCTCGGCCTGGCTACTGTCCAGGCTGTCTCTGCCCACTTCGGTCTTGTCTTCCCTCCTTGGCGTGCGGACACCCTCAGTGAGGAGGGCGAGGAGCGCTACAATCAGTGGGAGCAACCCTGTAAGTCCTTTCATATCCTGCGATCGCATACTCTGCTAACAAACAATAGGTGCTCGTGTTGACTTCAACAAGAAGAACCTCACTGACTGGCCCCTCGACGGTGGTGCTCTCACCCTCGATCTTCACCACGAATGGTCCTACATCTTCGTCAACCTCGGCCTCGGCGAGAACTCCACCAACTTCAACATCTCTCTCACCCCAGAGTTCCTCAACGCCACAAACTCGGGCACTCTCTTCATCGACAAGCTTGAGCTTCCCTCAGATGTCAAGCCCAAGGACGGAGACATCGCTAGTATCCAGGTTGTTACGGTTGGTGACACTGGCAATGCCCTGTACAACTGTGCCGATATCCGCTTCAAGGAGAATGCAAAGGGTCCTAGCAACAAAACTGGCGATGTGGACTACGTCAAGATCAAGCAGCAGAAGGGCAACGGAACTGAGGAAGATAGCTCCTCCAACTCTACATCTTCTGGAGACAGCAAGGACAACGCCGCTGGCACCATGGGTGTGAACACAGTGGTTATGACTTCTGTCGTGGGTCTTGCTGCCGCTTTTGTGATGGGGTTGGGCCTATAGATGGATGACCTTATGAGAAAGGGGGAATCAAATGTGTAATCAGTAGCCATGATAGAAAATTCACGGCCTTTCAAAACTTGTGATTATTTATGAGTGGGACAAATATTGGATTGCCATTGCCAACGTGCAGTTACAGGCTAGCTACGGGGAGCCCTTTATTGCTGATCTATAGGAACCCCTAAGATGTTTCCAGACCCCGTATATGATGACTTGCATGATTGAAGAAAATGAGAATGAAGATGAAAATGCAATTGGTATAATATATAGAAACAAGAGTTGCATTAAAACGTAAAGAATAATAACAGGGTATATCCAATCTGGGTTGGTCAGCTTGGTTAAACCGGGGGCGTTGCTTGTTTACTCACCATTGCACTCATATAAATTCAGCATGTAACGCTAAAACACCAAACTCCAGTCCTGAAATCGGAAACCAAAAGACAGACAGTGACCAATTGATTATTCTTGTGAGATCCTCTCACATATGGTCGATAACAGTCGCCACTCCTTACACGGTCTTCATCCCGCAGGAGTAGCAGCCTGTTCGACAGCCAACTCTTGTACCACTTTGGCCATAGTGATACGTTGGTTGGGGTTAGGGTATAGCATCTCCATAACGATCCGCTCGAGTCGGTCCTTGGGATTAAGACTCTTTCTCGCATCGAAGATCTCGGCAAGCCAATCTCGCATCTGCTTCATAGCGGGTTGACCATTTCCATACTGCTTGTGTGGCATATTGGGACTGTTCACCCCAGCGATCAACCAATAAAGGGGTCGCGGGTGTCGTCGATGAGCACGAGAGTCAGGGTACGTTATTTTGCGCAACACGTAGAGCATAGTGACACCGAGTGCCCAGACGTCAGAAGCAGGACCGCGTTGTTTTCGACCAATGAATTCCGGAGGAACGTAGTACGGTGTTCCGCCAACGGTCGGCGAATTAGTAGCAGTGGCCGGTGTAGAGAGACCAAAGTCACAAAGGACTGCACCTCTCTCTGGCGAGTAGAGGATGTTGGCGGGCTTGATATCGTTGTGCACCAGCTTGCGACCGTGGATGTAGTTGAGGGCGCCGGCGATGTCCCCCAAGATCCTGGCAGCGTCGTTTCTGTCGCCAATGAACTCATCATTGGTGTTATTCCTCCATCGAGGCATGGATGTGAGGTCCTTTGCGTCGATGTGCTCCATGTATAGGGAAAGGAATCGGGCATCACCACCATAGTAACGAACAATCGACTTGTGCTGCAGATCCTCCTGACCCCTACACTCACGAAGCCACATGTCGGCCTGACGGATGACAGTCCGCTCGTGGACGAGCGCCTTGTCATTGGGGTTAGCAACGCGCGTCTTGAGTACCTTGACAGTGACGATGTTGTTGGGTACGTGGGAGTGTGTTGCTGTGTACACGGCAGACAAGGAAGTCGAAGCAATTGGCTCTCGCTTGGTAAGTTCGTACTCATCGACTTCGCAGACACCTGAGATTGCAGCAGTTTCACCCTTTTCAGCGTCCAGCAAAGGATGGCCATTCACCGAGGAGAGCTCCTTGCTCTCGCGACCATTTGGGAGGGAGAAAACCAAGGGATCCGCGGAAGGCCTGAGGAACATAACAACACCATCGTCACCGGGTGTATTCGGGTCTGAGACACGACGTTTCACTCTCTTCTCGTCATACTCCGGAGAAAGGGCCCGCTTGCCGCTCGAGTTCACGGTGGGGGTGCTGGACTCTGAGGGAACATCCTCGACAATAGTCTGTTGCTGTGGTTGATACAGTATCACCGGGCGCTTTTCAAGTACTCGGAAGTCGAGGACTTCCATGTCGCGAAGCGTGATGCGCCATGTTCCAGGCCTCAGAGCCTTAGCTGACCCGGGGTTGACGACATGTGAAGGACTGTAAGGGCTCGACGGCGGCGTCGGCGACACTCCTGACAAGGAAATTGGTAGGTCTGACCGGTTCAAGAAGATGACTTTGTCACTAGCGGGATCGTAGTATAGCTCGCACCACAAAGGGGGCCTTGGGTAGTCATCTTGAGTCTCACCGGGGATACGGACAGTGAATTTGATATCTTTGGAGGTCTGAGTCACAGCGAGAACTTTGTGCTCAGGCTGCTCTGGTGAAGCCACCTCGGCGCGCAGAGCGAGCCACTGTAAACTTTCACTACCAGGGCTCACAGACCGCGACTTGGGGAAGTTGGCTAGTGGACGAAATAGAATGCGGATGCCTTGCCTGTGGTGGTGATCCTCGACGTGGAGCTCGTCTAACGAGACAAGCGAAGAGCTAGTAGTAGGGACTGGTTCTTCAACACCAATCCCCTTGAAGCGGGCGTCAATTTCGGATTGAGAAAATGGCTCGGTGCGCTCTTCTGAGACAACCTCAGAGAGCCCGAGCCTAGGTTCTGCCATAAGTTTGGCTATCTCTGCTTCATAGGTGAAGTTGGTAAGCAACCAAGGCGTACAGCGGTGGGTGGACCAGGCAGAAGAACCGGACAAGAGTTTACCTCAGATGCTAGCTGACCAACCAAACGCAAACGAATGGATGGCAGGCCGAACAGAATGTCTATAGTAATTGATAGAGTTTGTGTGATTGCTACGTAGAAAAGCAATCCGTGCGGTGTTGCGTTGCGTAGCGAGATACGATTGATGTTGCGCCAGGCTGAAAAGTGTAATGTAGTTGCGAATGAATATGAATGTATGAGTAATATGAGGGGCTGACTGTAATTGAATTCCAGGCAGGCTACTCTGTGCTGCGCTTGTGAGGCGATGCACTCCAAGAATGTATGTACAGTACGACACAAGGCGAATCAAGGCGGGGAGAGAGTGGGAGTGGAAGGGTTTAATAGGAGCTGGGGAAGAGTGGGTTGTGGCTAGGTATTATTAGATGCAGCAATAAGACCTTAGCTTGTATTGAAAGGTAGGATGGGAATGTAATGTAGGAGATGCAGGAACAGAAACAAGAGCCAAAATCAGTAGCAGATTTGACCCTCAACGAGGCCTGTTTTAAGAGGATGAACAGGGCACATCAGAAGGACAGGACACGATGGGTGTGTTCTTCTGGGTGGGTTGAAAAGACAGCTTTCAGCCCAGGTCAGGACAGGTTCAGGACAGGCCTGCTGATAGCGTATAGTCTCGTCTCAGTTTCCACGAGGAACAAGACTGAATCGGGGTCGAGTCATACAGCGATTTAGTTATTCGCTGCCTGAAGGCTGAGGGGATGATCCAAAAACCGAGAACGAGGGCGACTCATTCTAGGTATTCAAGAAAGGATAGAAAGAAGCGGGAGCGGGCGGGACGAGACGGTACGAAGCGAATGCCACTGAGCGATGGCACTGGGCACTGTCCAGACCGTCCTATTCTGCGCTTACGCTTGTTGGCTTGGGAGGGAGCTTTTGGCGTGTGTGGAGTGTAGGACTGGATTCATAACGGGTAGGGCTGGGCTTGACAAGGCAGATTTGACTTGACACAGTTTGAGGACACACCCACTGCCACACTCGCTGCCACAACGCTTTGTGGCTGTGCAGGGTCATCTCACCTAAGACTGACTTCCTAGGAAGTCAGTCCGGGATAATTATCCCGATGGCCAGATGATATTATCCATTGGAGATGTCCTCATATAGATCTCTGGTCACTATGAGACTCAATAGCTCGCTCAAATGACAAAAATGATGATGGGTAATTCACTCGAATTAGTTGCTGATGAGCCCTTCGGCTGCACGTTGTCAATCAAAATGCGAGCGTAGAAGCATCTGGCATCTTACATGGCTCAGCGGATCTTACTATGACGACACTGAAGCTGATATCAAGCAGACCAATTTCAGCATGACTGAAGACCCATCGAGATTTGGGGAACAGCAGGCTATATAAAGCAGACGATAGAGTTTACGAGATAACGTGAGTTTGTCACGATATTAGGCATCAAAGACAATTCTCCAGAGGTCAGTAGGTTGTTGTCTCACAGTGAGTTTCGGTGAGTGATCATGACTTTAGACTAAAATGGAAGTTGCCTCTGATGACAGTCCTCGTGACAGGTCAGGCTTGGTCAATGAGTGTTTACGAGGCCAATATCTCAACAGTCATCAATGCCATTCATTACTGCTGAAAAAATAACACTATGAAAGGCTTTACGAGTTTATAGAAATCATTGCAATATTGAATATCGACATGCCTGGTGTTTTGTGTTTGTGTGAATCCTTCATTAATGATGGAATCGATTGGAAGCGGCCGGCGTCGGAACTGCCCAAACAAAATCTGCCGCAATTGCACGAAAGAAGCATCAAAGGGTGGGCTGCAAATGGCCCCCAATGGACGCCACCATGTTACTAGCGTTGCCTAGCTCAAGAGATTGCATGAGATGGCTCCACTTACCGCCGAGAAAAGATCGTCATTGGGCGCTAATTATGCAGGCGCGTCTCGTGTCTCCGTCTTCGAAGGGATGACAGCCAATCGTGGCCCTTTATCGTGTCTGCCTCAGGCACCTCAGGCCGCACTCGTGGTCTTTGGGTTGCTGGGGGCCAAGCGCACCCTGAGATATGGGTATGGCTCTTGCCCCCCAGAACCTGCCGAATTCTGTTTCTCGTCACGCCCGCCTCCAAAACACCCACGATCATCACCCATAACCAAAAACCAAACCCGCCCGAAGAGTTCCAGAAGAGCCCAACAAACACGCTTCTTGCACATCAGTTCAGAGTAGTCTTCATTTTTTGACTTCTGAGCACCTTTGAGAATTTTGACGCCATGGACATGAAATAGATTCCGCAGCTCCCACGAGCTCTCGACCCACGGATACCTGGACACTCTTACTGGACACTCTCTTCTATACCACAACCATTCCACCACCATAATTTACCTACTTCTATCGACTGTGACCTCGACATGGACGATCCGGGCTGGTCATGGCCGGCCTGGAAATTCGGCATGAAGAGGGATGACCTCTTTCATACCCTCCACGAAAAATACAACACCTTTACCTTTAACCTCCAAGACCCTGAAGCCTTCCATCACGACGTTTACGAAATTTCCCGCGATGCCGATACCATCGACGATTTCCATCGCTTGCTGGATGAGCGAAAGCAACAGCGGATTCACGAACTTCACGAGTCTCTCGAATCTCTCGCTGTTGAGATCATCGCCAACCCCAAGTTGATGGATTCCGAACATTGGCAGTACGCCCTTCAACTCTTCCGGACCAAGTCTTTCGACTCTATCGTCCGTTATTTTGCAAGCTACCTACCCGAACAATATCTTGATCACAACGATCGTGATCATGATGCTATTTCTATTGCTTCCTTGTCCTCCTTCTCTGAGACCAACAGCGTCAAGACCGAGTGCACCACGGCCAGCAGCGTCGATGATGTCTCTAGTTTCTTTGATGATGAACCTATCTTGACAAAGGGTCCCCTCTCGATTCACACCGACATTCGATCATCGTCTGTTGTTCAAGCGCCCCCCTCGCCCCCCCATTCCGAGGCAGCGCACGGCGATGAGTCTTCTGTTTCTTCTACTTCCATGGAGTCGCACGAATACTCCACCCCTTCACGCTCCATGTCGTTTTCTGGTTCCGAGACAGCTGCAGCTATCTCTGACTTGACCAGATCACTCGTTCACGACGAAGATGAGACCTCGCAGTTCGATGACGGCGACTTTGCTGTCGCCTCGGATTCTGATTGCGAAGAGAGCCAGTCGTCACTGGACGTAATGGATGACGGGGAACAATCCAATGACAAGTATGAGGATGATCTAGAGGAGGAGGATGATTTTCCTACTACTCAATTTCCTGAAGATGCTAGCGACGGTTGCGATTTCTATGACGATACCCCAAATTTCGATGACACACCGACTCCCCGACAGGAGTCTATCGCGCCCTGCTATGTTGAGTACAAGTCCGTTGCGGCATGGAGAATACCTTCTCCTCGTCGTTCAACCTCACCCTCGCCACGAAGCCACCACCCCTACCGCCGCGAAGGCTCAAGTCTGAAGGACATCCGCCGAAGTCCTGAGGAGTCGATGAGCAAAATTCAGAAACCGATGCATGAGCAAAGGAAAAGGCCGACATTTAGGAAACGGCTTGATTAGCGTTTGGGGAGGCAGGGTGCTTTGTATATATTTGACGCAAGCGATAGATACCTGTATCTGATGACTTTTAATCCTTTCTTAACCACTTCTCTCCACAGTTGCTCGCGACATGGTCACTCTTATACAATGCCTTGGAAGAGAGGCTCTGGTGGTCATTTTCAAGTGAAAATGCCCTACTTTTAGAACAGCCAAGTGAGTACGTTCCTGCACCTGATGTACCTGCAGCAGTTGACGTGACCGTTCTACCCGTATCGCAACACGTGGGTCATGTGGCTTTGGTGTTGACATGCGACGGCGCAACCATCACGAGGCACAGACCTTTTTGAAAGAGTGATATATACTACCACGTGGGCTAATGACGTACACAAAGCTTGTTCTCGATGGGATTGTCAACGATTGTTGATCCGGATCGAAGCGTACCTGCATGCTGTTCCTGGCGGCCGGCTGTCAGGGACGCCACGAGTTTGCTGTAACGACATGGTAAGTTGTGAGGGTGTACGATAGAGAGGTATGTTACAATAGATGGGTTACCTCTTGATTGTTGATTCTACTAATGCATCAAGGAGTTTGGGGTGTTTATTTTATGCTACCTAATGTTATTCTTGAGCATCATTTATGAATCACGATGTGTAGTAGAAGCGACCTAATGAATGCTTGACTTATTCATGAGCTCAATATGAGCGCCTTGAAGATATAATAGAATAATCCCTACTAAATATCTCTCCGGACATGCATGTGAATTGTTGATTTTCTCACGAAGACACAACAAGATTATTGGCCGCCGCATCAGCTCCCTCCAAATTTGTGAGAATGGGAAGCCTGACACGAGCTTGAGGGCCATCCTCAAACCATCTCTTTCATGATGGTGTTCTTTAGGTATTGGAGCAGTGAGGGTTTCACTCATTTATCACCATCCTTACACGAATGGCAACCAGAGTAAATAAATACACAACAAGTCACTCTTGATCAGCTCATAATAGAAATGAATCGAAAATCCTTAGGCGTTGCTGGTATGAGATGTAACATGCCATGGCTGGCGCTGTTCATCAAGGTGCGTGGTGAGCTATGTTTCTCAAGTTCAAATTGATTATGGTGCATGACCGAGGCGCCTCTCAGAGACTTCCCTATGGCCGCAGTATGTGTCTCCATAAATAAATGGACGAGCTTACTTTATTGAGAACAAAACGTATTAATGAAGACAGATATATACCTGATGGGGTTGAGACTGCTGTTCATCAAATGCCGAAGGGCCCGTCTTACACTTGTGTCCTCTCTCACCCCGCACTTTGTAACCAAACTTGAACATTAACAACCACCATGTCCAGCACCAGCACCAGCACCAGCGCCAAGAAGACTGCTCCATATGGAGACTGGGAGTCACCAATTTCAGTCGACTCCATTGTCTCTAAAACTAGAAGACTCTCCTCACCTAGAGCCAATGTATGTAAGCATTCGGACACTGAATATTTGAGCAGCTGTTGACATGTACAGCCCAAATCTGGTAGAGCTTTCTACACAGAAAGCCGTGAAGACGGAAGCACAACCATTGTTGAGATCCTGAAAGACACTATCAAAGATATTCTTCCATCCGAATACAGTGCCAAGAACAGCGTGTATGAGTATGGCGGTTCAACATACGCCGTTCTCCCAGACGATCGTATCATCTTCTCCAACAAGGGCGATACGGTTCACATACTAAACCCGGACAGCAAGGAAGTTTCAGAACTGGCTGGCCACCCAAACCTGAGATACTCAAATTTCGAAGCAAACTTGACGTCGCCATGGGTTCTGGCCAACCAGGAAGACCATGAACATGACACTCCTGATGGAGTTCGCAACTATGTCGTGGCAATTAACACTGAAACAACCGAGGTGAAGCGGATCCTTGACACTGCTGACTTCTACTACGAACCATCTTTCAGTCCGGATGGTTCAAAGCTTGCGTGGCTGGAGTGGAATCATCCTGAACTGCCTTTTGACTCCGCAAGGCTGTATACTGCGACATGGAACGATGGCTCTATCTCAGACATCAGCCTTATTGCAGGAAAGGATCGTGAGGGAGTTGCAGAGCCTAGATGGGGCCCTGATGGATCTCTATTCTTTAACAAGGAGGTCGGAGAGTATCGTCGCTTGTACCGTATTATTCCCGGAAGTGATGAGCATGTCGAGATCAAAGTCGATGGCATCGGCAACGCGGAGTTTGGGGAACTTCGATGGTTTCAGGGAAGGTAAGAACCCCGAAGACATCACGAGAACCCCGCTAAATGAGATAGTCATACCTATGTGCCCCTGTCTGATCGACATCTTGTCGCTTCTCCCTACATTCTGGGAACATCTAGGGTGATTCTCATCGATCTAGAGTCTGGAGACTGGAAAGACATCGGTGATTCTCAGAGGCTGGCAGAAGTCCAGCTGGACGCAGTTGCACGCCTGAGCAATACCTCAGTTCTCATTGTTGGGTCTGGAGAGACTAATGCTAAAGCGCTCTACCGAATTGACACCGAAGGCTCAGGCCAGATCACCCAAGTCCGGGGCTCTACAGATGATGGGCTTCCCAGCGAATTCTGCTCCAAGCCTATCTTAAAGAAAATTCACTCAAAGGGCCAACCCGAAAGAGAATTGTATGGGTTCCTGTGGCTCCCGCACAACCCGGACTTCCAGGCACCAGAAGGGGATCTACCTCCTCTGATCATGACAAGTCACGGAGGGCCAACATCCTACACTGGCCCTGGCCTCGCCCCAAGAACACAATATTTCACCTCGAGAGGATATGCAGTTCTTGCTTTCAACTACAAAGGATCAAGCGCTCATGGGCGCAAATATCGGGAAGCTCTCTGGGGGAACTGGGGCTTAGTGGACTCAGACGACGCTGCGGAATTCGCAGATAATTTGACGTCCGAAGGAGTGGTCAAGTCTGGTGGAGTAGGAATCACTGGTGTAAGCGCAGGAGGTTACAACACCCTTAGAAGCTTGACCCGTCACCCGAGCACCTTCGCTGGCGGTGTATGTCTCTCAGGTGTAAGCGACATCAAACGCCTGGATGACTCAACCCACAAGTTGGAATCAGACTACACAGATCACCTAGTGTTGCAGAAAGGGGTAGACAAGAGTGAAAAGGACAGAATCTGCCGTGAGAGAAGTCCCTTGTTCGAAGCCCAAAAGATCACAGCCCCATTGCTGCTCTTGCACGGAGGCAGCGATAAGATCACGCCTTTGGATCAGGCACAAGAGATGGCCAATGCTATTGAGAAGGCAGGGGGTGATGTTGAGCTTATAGTTGTACCTGAGGAGGGCCATGGATTTGGACAGCCGAAGAACGTGAGGCTGTGGCTTGAGGAGGAAGAGAAGTGGTGGAGAAAGACGTTGCTTTAGGTGATGACTGCGAGTGTATGAAAGAGACGTTTTGTCGTAAAGAAGGCTAGCTATAGAGCCGAGCAAATCAACGAGAATTACACGATAGCTGTATCCAAAGAGCTTGAAGACAAGGGATTCTGAAATGACCGTTTTATACTAAGGCTTCTCATTTTAAAGCACCATCACCATGGTATCCCATCTCAGTTAACGCCCGATTTTAGCTTACCATTAGACTTCCAAACCTCGTATTCGAAGTCAGGCTGGAACTCTGTATACAACGCCTCCTATTCACCATGTCAGTCAACTGTTTCCATAACCATCCATAGAATGATAACTCACAGGGTCCGCATTGTATCGATAAGTGTACTCAGCCTCTTCATCACCAATGATCTGTTTCGGCAGTCCAGCACTTTCCACCAAGAGCTGTATCTCACATGTCCTCTCCATGAGGGAGAACAAATACGCCGCTTCGTCTACTGTTTTACCTGCCGTCAACAGCCCATGGTTCTGCAGAATGACGGATCGATTCTTCGGACCGAGTGCTTTGGCAATACGAGCACCTTCATCGTCTTCAAAGACAACACCTCCAAAGTCGGAGTACACGCTGTGGTCGTTATAGAAGATGCAAGCATCTTGACTTATCATCTCAAGGGGCTTTCCAAATGTCGACCAAGCCTTTCCATACTTGGAGTGAGCGTGGCATGCAGCATCCACATCTGGCCTGGCTTTATGAATAGCAGCGTGGATAGTAAAACCAGCTGCGTTGACGGCGACTCGGTTACCACCGATGACTTGACCGTCTTCGTTGATATGAACCATATGGCCTGCCTCAAGCATTCCGAAGTGAACACCCATCCTGATTTTGTCAACTTAACTCCACCAAAGAGAAGAATGGGACTCACGGGTTAATCCAAAAGGTACTAGGATCAACAGGATCTCTCACACTGATATGTCCCGCAGCACCCTCAGTGAATCCCATACGGGCAAACACGCGAAAGGCACCAGCCATATGCTCCAGTTGCCATTGTCGCTTTTGATAAGGGTCCTCAATCTTGGGAATTCCAGGATATGGGATTCCGCCTGTTGCAACAGCTGCAAAGTTCTGGTTGACTGGCTCTTCGGGAGCTGCAACCGAAGCTTCAGAGCTTGTTGCGAAGAATGCGGACCGAAGAGAAGGTTGGACTTTCGAATAAGGTTTAGTTGTGAGTTTCTGCGAGGGGAGAATAAGACGGGGTCTAGAGGCTGAGCTGCTGAATGAAAGTGAGGCCCGCCTGGAGATAACTCGCTTTAGAGGCGCTGCATGGAAAGATTTTGATGAGAGCATTATGCTTATTTGCACTTGGTGAACGGAATACAATAGAGTTGATGCCTTTATTAAGATAGATAGAGATGTATGAAGTGACAGAGCCGTTGTCAGTTATTCACTCGGTCCTCATTTATATGACCCGGCCGGCCAGAGTGAACCGGCTCTCTCCCGGTCCCGCAAGTCATTGAATCCGACAATCAATCAACTTCCCCGCCTCAAGATAGAGTCCAAGCTAAAGCAGCACCTAACGGCGGTAGTTATATCTCTGTATGCGAACTATCCAACCACTGCTAGGGGATTTTGGTGGACCTTGCTATCTGCGGGGTGCACTTCATATGAC